TTGACGGAATTGAATTTCGACGTTGGACGAGGAAGATACGAGCATCGAAAGCTAGGGACGTGAATCGGATAATTCAGGTACCAATCTGTCTATTCGAAAAGTATAAGGATTGTGCCGGTAATTTTTTTTCCTAGAAAATATCCAGTTTAGTCCCCCATATTATCAGTTTAAGCAGCTTAGTTCCTACTGTTTTGAAAATTGACAATGGGCAAAAAATAATATTTTATCAAGATTTTTATTATTTTACTTGCTTTTCAATAGGTATTTTCGTGGTGAGATAATTTTGTAAATAGTATAGAATCAAGAGGATGTTTGGGTATTAATCTGAGAATTTTTGGAGATGGCTTTCTATATAAAAAACGTTAGATAAAATTTTTTGGTAAAGTAACATATGTTTTGGGCGGTTTCATCAAATTTATTATTTTTCCTGGAAGCTGGACGTCAGTAGGGTTGTCCAAACATTTTCTGGAAATTTTTTGAGTCGTGTGGTTAATTTCAAAAATTAAAATTATGTTGGTTTTAATTGTTTAAATAACTGTTCGTGGGTATTTTATTAATTAATTTTTCTTAACTTTAATACTTTTAGTACATTATAAAATTTAGAAACGGATTCGATGAAAAAAAAAAATTAGAAACGGAAATTCAAACGTTGGAAATATATCTCTAAAATTCATTTAGAGAAAATTAAATAGGAAGAAGAGGTTAATTAAGATGTAAACTATAGTCAATAATTTGTCATTATATTTTGAGTTATTTCAATTCGGAATTTTGAGTTTTTAAGAGGGGAAAAATTTTATTTGGAAATTTATGATATTTATTTAAAGGACTTTGACTTGATAGTAATAATTCAAGTCTAGGGAAATTTGGGAAAATTTTCAGTTTTTGGGAAAATAATTTAAAGAGGTTCAGGGCCATTTTCAAAGAATTTTGGGAATAAGCTAGGAGGACGGAAAATTTAACGAAGTACCGACTAAGGGTAATCAATCTCTATTTATAGTATTAAGGAAGCAGTCATGTTAGGGATTCCGCGTCCAACGAGTTAAAGTATCGGCATTTGAGAGGTGAGTGTAAAGAGGGTAAATTCTACGCCTTACGATATTTAAGTTTTTGAGATTTGACTGCTAAGTGTCGTACTTGGCTTTGTATGCTTATATGATGTCATATGATTTTTGTGAGTTATGCTTTTAGTTTTATGTTGTTGTGTGCTTTACTTACAGGTAAGTTTAAGTTTAAGAAACAAGTTTCTTTTAAGAAGTTCTTCACCTTCAAGAAGGTGAAATAGTTTTAAGTGTTTTTAGTCACTAGCGCCAGTCTGTTGCCATTTGAGATTTTGAGATAGAGCAGCAGTTATGCTCTTGAGACTTTTAAGATGAGCAACAGTTATGCTCTTGAGATATTTTAAGATGAGCAGCAGTTATGCTCTTGAGAATCGTGGAAGAAGAGTCTTCCACGATAAGTTTAAGTTTAAGGAAAGTCTGGAGGGCTTCTCATATGTATGAGTTGGGCAACCGAACTAGCTAGTGAGGGATCCCCGTGTCAGTCAAAAGTTTAAGTCAAGATTTGAGCTTTAAGAAGGGAGAGTAAACTTAGCTCCCGCACAGTTTTAAAAGTTAAGATTTTTTAGAGTGGAAGTACAAACAACTTCCACAAGTTTAAGTTAAGTGTCTTAAATAAAGTATTCAAGTACTAGAGATTTTTAACGTATGGTCGTAGACTTACTCCAACTCACTCACCAGTTTGAAGATCTAGAGGAGGAGCTAGAGGAGCAGTTAGTGAGCAGCGAGTTCGAGGGCAGCCAACTAGAGGAGGGCAGTATAAGCGTCACAGAGAATGCTTAGTCAAGGTTTCAGTAGCAACAACATTACAGATTATTAGTTTATTTATATTTATGATTATGAGTATAGACTCGAGATTACTTTGAGATTTTAAGTATTGAGTTTGCCTATGTGTTAGGGCGTTGCTTAGAACTACAAGTGTATGTTTTCAGTATTTTATTTATGAAAAATTTTCCCACTGGAATTTAAGATTTGAGTATTTTATTTATTAATGACATTTTAGTAAAAGAAGTATCCGGCCGATTTAGGGTGTTTCATTTTGGTATCAGAGCCGGTCTTCATCTGTTTCTTGGATCCCAAGAAATACTGGAATGTCGATCTCAGTTTTTAAAGGTTTTGTTTTTAAAGATTTGAAGTCAAAATTTGGCCAAACAAATCAAGGATTTCTTTTAAGAATTTCGAATCTCCAGTCTACTCTAAACCATATTAAGGAAGAAATAACTGAGTTTTAAACAAGACCCTATGTGTCTACAATGCAAGTGTTGGCCAGAATCCCACACTACCAGTGCCACCACTAGAGAGACGTCCACCGGACTATGTAGCTTTCCGAAAGAGAAAGGTGGAAGATTTTAAAGGGGAGTGTACAACAGGCCCCATAGAAGTAGAGCAGTGGCTAGCCAAGGTCACCAGTACTCTGGTCGAGATGAGAGCTGATGATGAGGACAGAGTACTGCTGACAGTGTCCTTGCTACAGGACGCTGCATACAACTGGTGGACTACCCAACCAGCTAGTCGAGAGGATCCACCGGCCATCACTCGGCTAGAGTTCGTGCAGCTATTCAAAGACCACTTCATACCGGAGGCCTACCAGATTGGGAAGCAGAGGGAATTTTTGTTGATCCGGCAGAACTGGGCCAGCGAAGGCAGGGAAAGCGTGACTGATTACACGGCCAGGTTTGACAAGCTCCGCACCTATGGAGGGCCTAAACTTCAGGATGTGGCAGCTCAACGCACCCATTACTTGGAGAGCCTGAAGCCTACTTTTCTGCGCCAGCTGAGTATACTGAATTGGAACAATAGGGAAGAGATTTATCAGGCAGCTCTTCGGTTGGAGTGGGCGGATATAGCTCTGCATGAAGAGGGGATGCAGCGAGAAGGGAACAAGAGAAAGGCTGATAGCCTGTCTGAGGGGTCAGGACAGCCGAGTCAACAGAGAAGGAGACCATCCCAGAGCTACTATGGGGCCACCCACAGTCAGGCCGGCTCAACCAGATCACGGCCGACCTACATTCCTCGTGACCCATGGAACCGGTGTGGGAGAACTCACCCAGGAGAGTGTAAGGTACACATAGGAGGCATTTGCTATCATTGTAATGAGCCAGGCCACTATGCTAGAGATTGCCCTAGGAAAAGAGGGCCAGAGAGAGCTCAGTCTGAACAATCAGTCCGGGACGAAGGAGGAAGAAGCCAGACTGGACAGCAGTTTGGGAACCAACCCAATCAATCCTACAACAACAATGGAAGACGTTTAAATGACCAGGATCAAATGTCGAGAGCTGGTGGGCAACCTAGAGTATTTTCCATAAGAGGAATTGAGGGTGATCGTGGAGACAATGATGAGGAAACGCAATGATGTGATCATGTGGAGAAAATGGGAGACGGTGAGGAGGAAGTATATGCTTTAAGCATAGATCACTAGTTGGTTGTTTCTTTGAAAAACGCAATTTCAGTTTAGGCACTCGATATTTCAATAATAAACCCTGTGGTTCAGTTCGGTTTCACAATAGCTAGCAACCCAGATAAGCCTACAATTTCGAGGTCAAAATTTCTCAAGGGGGAGGGAAATGTTATATCCCAACTTACGCAGTTTCTTCAAATGCAGTATATAATCGTACAAGATGTTGTTCTCAGTCCATATCCTATAGCGTTCATATCTTATAGTTCAAATTTCGGGGACAAAATTTTTATAAGAGTGGAGGAAATGTAACACCCCGATATTTGGGTCTAGGTTCAACCGAACTATTTGATCGACGATTTCGTACGAAAGATTGAAACCATAAATTAGAAATAATAATAATAATAATAAAATTAATAACTAATGTTATTATTATCATCATCATCTTCATAATAAATTACCATCAGCTGGCCGTTTCCCCATCAGTAACAACACTTTATTATTGTTCTGATTAATTGATTATTAAAAATATTCATCTTTCTCCACTCTCCACGTTTTTTCACCAGTATCAGGGGAGAAGGATATATATAAAAATAATAGTAATAATAAAAGAACCCCCGAGAACCCGTTACCACTCCCCCACCGTCTCCCCTTTTAATTCCCCATCACTGGCTCTTGCCGTTACCTCCGCCCAACCCATTTTTTTCAACATCACAAAGCCGAGAGGAGAACGGGAGAAGCAGTAGCGCAGCAGAGAAATCCCCATGCCATTACCCCGTTCTGCATCCAGCGACCCCATCCCTCTCGTCATAGCAACTACAGCAGCCTCACCTCGCCATCGTAGTCGTCATCGACGTTAGAGCCTTCTCTTGACGTTGTAGTGGCAAGATTCCTGATTCCCCTTTTTCCGTAAACTCATTTTCAAGCCCCGACTAACACGACGAGACCACGTGACGATTGTAGCTTCGTCGGCAGCACCGTCGTAGTTGAAGATAGGAGAGGCCTACCAGATTGGGAAGCAGAGGGAATTTTCGTTGATCAGGCAGAAGTGGGGCAGCGAAGGCAGGGAAAGCGTGACAACACGGCCATGTTTGACAAGCTCCTCACCTATGAAGCGCCTCAATTTGAGGATGTGGCAACTCAACGCACCCATTACTTGGAGAGCCTGAAACCTGCTTTTCGGCGCCAGCTGAGTATACTAAATTGGAACAACAGGGAAGAGATTTATCAGGCAGCTCTTCGGTTGGAGTGGGCGGATATAGCTCTGCATGAGGAGGGGATGCAATGAGAAGGGAACAAGAGAAAGGCTGCTAGCCCGTCTGAGGGGTCAGGACAGCCGAGTCAGTAGAGAAGGAGACCATCCCAGAGCTACTATAGGGTTTCTCTTATTCGTATTAATAGCTACTCTAGGAGGAATGTTTTTATGCGGTGCTAACAATTTAATAACTATCTTTGTAGCTCTAGAATGTTTCAGTTTATGCTCCTACCTATTATCTCGATATACCAAGAAAGATGTACTGTCTAAGGAAGCTACTAGGAAAATTTTACTCATGGGTGGGGCAAGCTCTTCTATTCTGGTTCATGGTTTCTCTTGGCTATATGGTTCGTCCGGGAGAGAGATCGAGCTTCAAGAAATAGTGAATGGTCTTATCAATACACAAATGTATAACTCCCCAGAGTCAGGCCGGCTCAACCAGATCACGGTCGACCTACATTCCTCGGGACCCATGCAACCAGTGTGGGAGAACTCACCAGGGAGAGTGTAAGGTGCACATAGGAGGCATTTGCTATCATTGTAATGAGCCGGGCCACTATGCCAGAGATTGCCCTAGTAAAAGAGGGCAAGAGATAGCTGAGTCTGAACAATCAGTCCGGGGTGAAGGAGGAAGAAGCCATACTGGACAGCAGTTTGGGAACCAACCCAATAGATCCTACAACAACAATGGAAGACGTTTCAATAACCAGGATCAAATGTTGAGAGCTGGTGGGCAACCTAGAATATTTACCATAGGAGGAATGGAGGGTGACCATGGAGACGATGACGAGAAAACGCATTGATGTGATCATGTGGAGAAAATGGGAGACGGTGAGGAGGAAGTATCTACTTTAAGCATAGATCACTAGTTGGTTGTTTCGTTGAAAAACGCACTTTCATTTTTGGCACTCGATATTTCAATAATAAACCCTGTGGTTCAGTTCGGTTTCACAATAGCTAGCAACCCAGATCAGCCTACAATTTTGAGGTTGAAATTTCTTAACGGGGAGGGAAATGTTATATCCCAACTTACGCAGTTTCTTCAAATGCAGTATATAATCGTACAAAATGTTGTTCTCAGTCCATATCCTATAGCCTTCATATCTTATAATTCAAATTTCAAGGAAATTTTTTTTATAAGGTGGAGGAAATGTAACACCCCGATATTTGGGTCTAGGTTCAACCGAACTATTTGATCGATGATTTCGTACGAAGTGTTGGAACCATAAATTAGAAATAATAATAATAACATTAATAACTAATGTTCTTATTATCATCATCATATTCATAATAAATCACCATCAGGTGGTCGTTTCCCCATTAGTAACAACACTTTATTATTGTTATGATTAATTGATTGTTAACAATAATCATCTTTCTCCACTCTCCATGTTTGTTCACCAGTATCAGGTGAGAAGGATATATATAAAAAATAATAATAATAAAAGAAACCCCGAGAACCCGTTACCACTCCCCCAACGTCTCCCCTTTTAATTCCCCATCACTGGCTCTTGCCGTTACCTCCGCCCAACCCATTTTTTCCACACCGCAAAGCAGAGAGGAGAACGAGAGTAGCAATAGCGCAGCAGAGAAATCTCGATGCCATTACCCCATTCCACATCCAGCGACCCCATCCCTCTCGTCATAGCAACTACAGCAGCCTCGCCTCGCCATCGTAGTCATCATCGACGTTAGAGCCTTCTCCTGACGTTGTAGTGGTAAGATTCCTGATTCCACTTTATTTGTAAACTCATTTTCAAGCCCCAACTAACAGGACGAGCCCACGTGACGATTGTAGCTCCGTCGGCAGCACCGTCCTAGTCGAACTCGAACTCATCGTGTAGAGGCCAATCTCAGGAGCATCCCAGTTTCGACGGAATTGAATTTCAACTTCGGACGAGGAATATACGAGCATCGAAAGCTAGAAAGGTGAATCAGATAATTCAGGTACCAATCTGTCTATTCGAAAAGTATAAGGATTATGCCAGTAATTTTTTCGTCCTAGAAAATATCCAGTTTAGTCCCCCATATTATTAGTTTAAGCAGCTTAGTCCTTACTATTTTGAAAATTGACAATGGGCAAAAAATAGTATTTTATCAAGATTATTATTATTTTAGTTGCTTTAGAATAGGTATTTTCATGGTGTGATAATTTAATAAATAGTATAGAATCAAGAGGATGTCTGGTATTAATCTGAGAATTTTTGGAGCTGGATTTTCTATATAAAAAAGTTAGAAAGAAGTTTTTGGTAAAGTAAAATATGTTGCGGGCGGTTTCATCATATTTGGTATTTTTCTTGGAAGCTGGAAGTCATTAGGGTTGTTAGAAAAATTTCAGGAAATTTTTTGAGTCGTGTGGTTAATTTCAAAAATTAAAATGATGTTGATTTTAATTGTTTAAATTAATGTTCGTGGGTATTTTATTGTAAACTTTAATACTTTTATTAAATTATAAAATTTAGAAACGGATTCAATGAAAAAAAAATAGAAAAGAAAATTCAGACGTTAGAAATATATCTCTAAAATTCATTTTAGAGAAAACTAAATAGGAAGAAGAGGTTAATTAAGATGTAAACTAAAGTCAATAATTTGTCATTATATTTTGAGTTATTTCAAGTTAGAATTTTGAGTTTTTAATAGGGAAAAATTTGTTTGGAAATTTATGAGATTTATTTAAGGGACTTTGAGTTGATAGTAATAATTCAAGTCTTGGAAAATTTGGGGAAAATTCAGTTTTTGAGAAAATAATTTAAAGAGGTTTAGGGCCCTTTTTAAAGAATTTTGGGACTAAGATAGGAGGACAGAAAATTTAACGGAGTACCGACTAAGGGTAATCAATCTCTGTTTATAGGATTAAGGAAGCAATCAAGTTAGGGATTCCACGTCCAACGAGTTAAAGTATCGGCATTTGAGAGGTGAGTGTAAAGAGTGTAAATTCTACACCTTACGATATTTAAGTTTTTGAGATTTGATTGCTATGGGTCTTACTTGCCTTTGTATGCTTATATGATGTCATATGATTTGTATGAGTTATGCTTTTAGTTTTATGTTGGTGTGTGCTTTACTTACAGGTAAGTTTAAGTTTAAGAAACAAGTTTCTTTTTAGAGTTCTTCACATTCAAGAAGGTGAAATAGTTTTAAGTGTTTTTAGTCACTAGCGCCAGTCCGTTGTCATTTGAGATTTTGATATAGAGCAGCAGTTATGCTCTTGAGACTTTTAAGATGAGCAGCAGTTATGCTCTTGAGAATCATGGAAGAAGAGCCTTCCACGATAAGTTCTAAGTTTAAGGAAAGTCTGGAGGGCTCCTCATATTTATGAGTTGGGCAACCGGACTAGCTAGTGAGGGATCCCCGTGTCAGTCAAAATTTTAAGTCAAGATTTGAGCTTTAAGAAGGGAGAGTAAATTTAGCTCCCGCACAGTTTTAAGAGTTAAGATTTTTTAGAGTGGAAGTACAAACAACTTCCACAAGTTTAAGTTAAGTGTCTTAAATAAAGTATTCAAGTACTAGAGATTTTAAACGTAAGGGCGTAGGCTGACCTCAACTCACTCACCAGCTTGAAGAGCTAGAGGAGTAGCTAGAGGAGCAGTTAGTGAGCAGCGAGTTCGAGGGCAGCCAGCTAGAGGAGGTCAGTATAAGCGTCATAGAGAATGCTTAGTCAAGGTTTCAGTAGCAACAACATTAGAGATTATTAGTTATTTACATTTATGATTATGAGCATAGACTCGAGATCACTTTGAGATTTTAAGTATTGAGTTTGCCAATTTGTTAGGCCACGTTGCTTTGAACTACAAGTGTGTGTTTTCAGTATTTTATTTATGAAAATTTTTCCCGCTGCAATTTAAGATTTGAGTATTTTATTTATCATTGGCATTTTAGTAAAAGTAGTACCCGGCTGGTTTCAGAGCATCCTCATGAAGCCTCTACATTCCGCTTCCAATCTCTCCTTGTGCACCCATGTGGGAAAAGGTAATGGTGGCGTATACTCAACCACAGGTGGTGGCATCGGCAATGCCTTCCTTGCCACTCTGCTCTTTTCCCCCGAGGTTTCCTCTTCTTCACCCTCGAGTAGAGGGTCTTCCTTCTCATTCACTTCTTTTGCAACGACCTCCAGGGTCACCTTCCCGCTCCTCAAGAAAATTGCATTGCACCCGGCTTGATCTTTGGGGTTGGCAATGGTTTCAGAGGGTAGGGCTCCCTTTGGTCTCTGAGGGAATCCCACCAAGATTTCTACTTTGCACTTCCAAGTTTTGGAGACTCGCTTGATGGCTTCGGAGTCCCGCCTCAACCGAGGTAAACTTGGATGTTGCCACATCCATGAATTTCTCAATCTTCTCAAACTTCTGAGAGCTTGTACTCACATAGGCGTTCACAAGGTCTTCAAGTTTAGAGAACTTGTCACCTTGTTGTTGTTGTTGAAAACCTTGACTGCCTTGTGCTTGGTATGGTTGTTGGAAGTTTGAGTTTTGGAATTGAGGACTTTGTTAGATGAATGTTGGCCGAGGTTTGTAGTTTCCCGTTGGATCTTGAAAATCGGGAGGTTTTGGATTGGTAGGGGAAGACCAAGGGAATTTTGGATGATTACACCACCCGGGGTTGTATGTGTTGCTATAAGGGTTGTTCCCTCTAGCATTGGCAATGAAACTCACTTGCTCCTCGGGGGTACTCGACTCCTTCATCGCTTGGCAATTCGCAATTTTGTGATTTGTGCTCGAACACCAGACATAAGACATCAGTGCTCTCTTCCCTTCCTTCTTGTCCTCAAGGATCACCTGGATCAACTTATCAAGCTTTGCTTTAAGTGGAGCAGTTGCTCCCACACTTCTTACTCCTCTTTTGGTGGTCCTCTTACCACTTCTCGTCAAACCCCAATCATGTCCCTTCAGGGCCATATCTTCAAGCAATTCGGTGACTTGAGGAGGGGTCATGTTCATCAACCTACCTTGGCAAAGAGAGTCGATAAGGATCTTGTCATCTTGAATGAGTCTTCCATAAAAAGTTTCTATCCGGAATCGCTCTTTAAACCCATGGTGAGGGAATTGGAGGAAGTAGTCTGAGAACCTTTCCCATGCATCCCTCAACGTCTCATCCTCCTCTTGCTCGAAGTTAGTAATCTTCTTCCTCCACTCGGCCGTCTTGGAAAGAGGACAATATCGGGTCATGAACATGTTGAGTAGATCGTCCCAAGAGTCGATGGATAGCGTTGGTTGGTTGTTGGGCCATCAGAGCGCTTTCCCCGCAAGAGAGTCGGGGAATAGCCTCAATTGTAATGCCTCCTCGGAGACACCATTTATCTTCACACATCCTGCTAGCTCAATAAACCTTTGAACATGCTCTCGTGGCGATTCATGTGCAAGCCCGTGGTTTAAGGCATTTTGTTGAATCATCGTCACAAGAGCAGGCTTGATTTCAAAGTTGTTGGCGGCCACGGGTGGATGTAGGATTGGTGATTGAATATTCGCCATCCATGGATCCATGTAATAGCCCATAGTCCTTGGCTCTTCCTCGGCT